CAAGGTCAGAGATGCTCAAAATCAGAGATTCTCAAAGGTCAGAGATTCTCAAGGTCAGGAAATCAGAGATACTCAAGGTCAGGAAATACTCAAGGTCAGGGAAATCAGAGATGCTCAAGGTCAGAGAAATCAGAAATACTCAAGGTCAGAGAAATCAGAAATGCTCAAGGTCAGGAAATCAGAGATTCTCAAGGTCAGGGAAATCAGAGATGCTCAATGTCAGGAAATCAGAAATACTCATGGTCAGAGAAATCAGAAATGCGAGTGTCAGGAAATCAGAAATACTCAAGGTCAGGAAATCAGAAATACTCAAGGTCAGGGAAATCAGAGATGCTCAAGGCCAGAGACATCAGAAATGCAGTGTCAGAGAAATCAGAGTTGCTCAATATAATGGAAGTCAGAGATTCTCAAGGTCAGGAAATCAGAATGCATGTCAGGAAATCAGAAACTCGCAGTGTCAGGAAATCAGAAATACTCAAGGTCAGGGAAATCAGAAATACTCAAGGTCAGGGAAATCAGAAATACACGGTCAGAAATCAGAGATCTCAAGGTCAGAGAAATCAGAAATACTCTCAAGGTCAGGGAAATCAGAAATACTCAAGGTCAGGAAATCAAGGTCAGAGAAATCAGAGATTCTCAAGGTCAGAGAAACTCAGAGATGCTCAATATAATGGAAATCAGAGATTCTCAAGGTCAGGAAATCAGAGATGCTCAATGTCAGAATCAGAGATTCTCAAGGTCAGAAATCAGAAATACTCAAGGTCAGAAAATCAGAAATACTCAAATCAGAAATACTCAGAAATATCAAGGTCAGGGAAATCGAGATTCTCAAGGTCAGAGAAATCTCAGAAATCAGAGATTCTCAAGGTCAGGTCAGAAATACTCAAGGTCAGGAAATCAGAGATTCTCAATCAGAGAAATCAGAAATACTCAATATAATGGAAATCAGAGATTCTCAAGATCAGAGTCAGAAATACTCAAGGTCAGGAAATCAGAGATTCTCAAGGTCAGAAAATCAGAAATACTCAGATAATGGAAATCAGAGATGCTCAAGGTCAGTCAGAGAAATCAGAGATCAGGAGATGCTCAAGGTCAGAGAAATCAAAATATTCAAGGTCAGAGAAATCAGAGATGCTCAAGGTCAGAGAAATCAGAGATGCTCAAGGTCAGAGAAATCAGAGATGCTCAATGTCAGAGAAATCAGAGATTCTCAATGTCAGAGAAATCAGAGATGCTCAAGGTCAGAGAAATCAGAGATTCTCAAGGTCAGAGAAATCAGATTCTCAAGGTCAGAGAAATCAGAAATACTCAAGGTCAGAGAAATCAGAGATGCTCAAGGTCAGAGAAATCAGAGATGCTCAAGGTCAGGGAAATCAGAAATACTCAAGGTCAGGGAAATCAGAAATACTCATGGTCAGAGAAATTAGAGATTCTCAAGGTCAGAGAAATCAGAGATGCTCAATATAATGGAAATCAGAGATTCTCAAGGTCAGAGAAATCAGAAATACTCAAGGTCAGGGAAATCAGAGATTCTCAAGGTCAGAGAAATCAGAAATACTCAAGGTCAGGAAATCAGAGATTCTCAAGGTCAGAGAAATCAGAGATGCTCAATATAATGGAAATCAGAGATTCTCAAGGTCAGGGAAATCAGAGATGCTCAATATAATGGAAATCAGAGATTCTCAAGGTCAGGGAAATCAGAAATACTCAAGGTCAGGGAAATCAGAAATACTCAAGGTCAGGGAAATCAGATCAGAGATGCTCAATGTCAGGGAAATCAGAAATACTCATGGTCAGAGAAATCAGAGATTCTCAAGGTCAGAGAAATCAGAGATGCTCAATATAATGGAAATCAGAGATTCTCAAGGTCAGAGAAATCAGAGATGCTCAATATAATGGAAATCAGAGATTCTCAAGGTCAGAGAAATCAGAAATACTCAAGGTCAGGGAAATCAGAAATACTCAAGGTCAGGGAAATCAGAAATACTCAAGGTCAGGGAAATCAGAAATACTCAAGGTCAGAGAAATCAGAGATTCTCAAGGTCAGAGAAATCAGAGATGCTCAATATAATGGAAATCAGAGATTCTCAAGGTCAGGGAAATCAGAGATTCTCAAGGTCAGAGAAATCAGAAATACTCAAGGTCAGGGAAATCAGAAATACTCAAGGTCAGGGAAATCAGAGATGCTCAAGGTCAGAGAAATCAGAAATACTCAAGGTCAGAGAAATCAGAAATGCGCAGTGTCAGGGAAATCAGAGATTCTCAAGGTCAGGGAAATCAGAGATGCTCAATGTCAGGGAAATCAGAAATACTCATGGTCAGAGAAATCAGAAATGCGCAGTGTCAGGGAAATCAGAAATACTCAAGGTCAGGGAAATCAGAAATACTCAAGGTCAGGGAAATCAGAGATGCTCAAGGCCAGAGACATCAGAAATGCGCAGTGTCAGAGAAATCAGAGTTGCTCAATATAATGGAAGTCAGAGATTCTCAAGGTCAGGGAAATCAGAGATGCTCAATGTCAGGGAAATCAGAAATGCGCAGTGTCAGTGAAATCAGAAATACTCAAGGTCAGGGAAATCAGAAATACTCAAGGTCAGGGAAATCAGAAATACTCACGGTCAGGGAAATCAGAGATGCTCAAGGTCAGAGAAATCAGAAATGCGCAGTGTCAGGGAAATCAGAAATACTCAAGGTCAGGGAAATCAGAAATACTCAAGGTCAGGGAAATCAGAGATGCTCAAGGTCAGAGAAATCAGAAATACTCAAGGTCAGAGAAATCAGAAATGCGCAGTGTCAGAGAAATCACAGATACTCAAGGTCAGGGAAAAACAGATACACAAGGTCAGGAAATCAAATGTAAATAAGGTCAATGATATCCAAGGTAATCAAGGTCAGGGAAATCAGCAAAACTTGAGCTCAGGTAAGTCATGGATACTCGGGATCGAAGTAATGAAGGATTCTCAAGCTCAAGGATTTAACAGGGCAACTTGCCACTGGTATTATTCAGTGAAAATTTACTGTTTTCAATCTTTGAAAAAAGAGTTTGTGTATTCATACACAGATGGACACTGAATGGCTGACATCCGCATGTTATCACATGATTGATGGACTGTCACATGACTGCAAGAGCCGCAGTGATGGATCGATCATTGTTTGGCAAGGATTGTGTTTGGGGATGAGTGAGTGAGTGAGTTTACGTTTATGTCACACTCAGCAATATTCCAGCTATGTGGCGGCAGTTTGTAAATAATCAATCTGGACCAGACAATCCAGTGATCCACAGCATTAGCATCGATCCACACAATTGGGACACAATGACATGTCAACGACAAACATGCATTACTGAAAATCAATTCTAACCACGATCTTGGGTTGTTTTGGGGTGAATCAACTACTTGTGAGGGGTGGGATGCAGAACATATTCATGGATGAATGACATTCAACAGCAAGTGCAAATCTCTGGTATCCCTGTTATATTTCCTTAACTACTTTCCTTATTAAAGAAATAAAATATTGGATTTATGAAGATTAATGAATTGAGAATTAAGCGATTCTTATGTCTTAGACAATCTTTGTAATCACATCAATGGATACATATTTGAAATTTTTGTTGTTGGAAAATTAATGTTATCATTCTTAGCATTTAATTTACTTAAATGTCTTTTTGCAGTGAAAATGTACTGATGAATTTCACTTTAAACAAAAATGTAAATCAAATAAAGTGAAGTTAAGATTGCGAATCCTCATGATTTTTACCTTGTCAACTGAACATTTAAATCTCAGAATTCTTTTCAACTTACGATAAAAGTTGTTTAACAAACAATCATAGATTCAAATCGCTATTATTGGTTTGTATTACAAAAGGGTAAGCATAGTAGTTGGAACAGTGAAACAAATGCACGTGCGGTACGTGATGAGCGTTAACTTAGACCAACCCTACTTGTTCTCAGTGTTTCATTTAATGTGCATACACCCTTGAAATACAAACTAACAATAGCGATTTGAAACTATGATCGTTTGGTATATTGTTTTGTCTCAAAGTTCACACAAGCTTTTAGACACTTTGGCAGTCAAGATATTTTCTCAATCTATAAAAGTTTAGTCTAAGCCCTGTGTCCAGGAGGTGAGAGTTTCCATGTACACACATGGAGGTCTTCATCTCTTCATCCAGGTTAGAATTGGTCTTCAGCAACCCGTTGATGCATGTCATTGTATCCAGACATAATGATGTCTCTCCCTGGACTCCTTCTTGACCAGGCTTAGGGGCGGTGGGGTAGACTGATGGTTAAAGCATTCGCTCGTCACACTGAAGACCCGGGTTCGATTCCCCACATGGGTACAATGTGTGAAGCTCATTTCTGGTGTCCCCCGCCGTGATATTGCTGGAATATTGCTAAAAGCAGCGTAAAACCAAACTCACTCACTCACTTGACCAGGCTTGATGGTTTACAGATCACTGTCATATTGAATTTAAATTAGCGGTCAAGGCAACAACCTTTTTGTGAACAATAAGCCTTCATGTCAGTCTCTTGATCTCTACAGACCTAGATTTGAGAAGGGATATTCTTGGACCCTATCCACAATGAAGTAAGATTTTCAGTTTGAAAATTCTCAGAAAGTTAGACAGAAATATTGAAACAGATAGATTTTCAGTGAGACAATTTTTATCAAGAACATCATTGTGTTATCACTTTTATGAAATTGAATTAATTAATTCTTCTTGAAACAGTGTAGTTTCGGGTGCTGTAGCTTCCAGGTAAGATGGGAGCGGTAGGGTAGCCTAGTGGTTAAGGCGTTCACTTGTCATACTGAAGACTCGGGTTCGATTCCCCACATGTCCCCTGCTGTGGTATTGCTGGAATATTGCTAAAGGCGGCATAAAACCAAACTCACTCACTCACTCCAGGTAAGATGAGCTTCTCACTTGCCATGCTCTGGAATGTCACATTTGTTTTATCTGTTAATATTTTTTTTATAATAAAGTTATGTTTTTGTTTCAGGACTTCTTCCAGTTCTTCTTCAAGGAATTCCCCGAGCTGAGGTAAGTTTTCCTACATGTGGTGTTAGAAGGTGTTTTGTGAGAGTTGGTAGCACTGCTTGAAAACACTATCCAAGTTATTTTACATTGTCATCATTTTGTAGTCTAACTCCAGAGATAGACAACAATCAACATTCTGCCAGCACAAGGAACAAGCTATTATTTATATTGGCTTTTGCGTTTTTGTCATTTCAAATCCATTTAGCAGTTTGAGATATTGTAGTAAAAGAGATTGGTATTTAAAAGTTTGTGTGTGTCGTATATTTTGTCAGTATCAATACTTCAACGTCCCTTGAGGCAGTACTATTATGTACATTCAGGGTTTGTGTAGCTAGATGACTCCTATGAAATAGGAGAATATAGTAATATAGAGTACACTGATACCTGTTGGAGAATGATGCGGGCGTTGCTTGCTTATTGTGTTTGCAGGAATAAATTGAAAATGAAGACAGCAGTATTTTTGTATGACCATATTTAATTAAATTTGAAGATTATAGTATCTAGATTTAATGGATTAACTGTGTGTCTAAGAGAAACATAGAGTCTGTATTACCTTAGGCTAGGATTTATGTAGAAACATCTTTTTACTATGTAGTCGTAACTTATACTTTTTTGAATAATGTTGGTGAGATGAGTTTTTATTACTTTAAACTGGTGTCTTTCTCTAAGCTATTGCTGACCATGATGAAACTAATATTCTATATTCATATTTTCCCAATATCTGAATCTTGATACATCGCTTGTAGTGGTAATAAATAATAATGAATTATTACTCCAAGACATAACCCATATGTGAGTAAATACAGTATGTTACAGGAAGAATATTTTAATGAAATGTTCAAGGTTTTTGAGACAACCACGTGTAATTTGAAATGTAATATGAATATGCCCATCTATCACTGGGAAATGAATCCTGCAGAAATCAAGTACCTCGGCCCATGTCTTTATACCTTATAAGGATACATTAAAATACAGTGGTCTGAGGGACGGCTTCAGCCACATAATGTGTGTTACATGAAGGATGGGTAAACAGACATCTTTCTATAAGTATCTTTCAGATGAGACGGTAGGAATCTATGTGTTCACATGATGGGACCCATGAAGATTCGGGGTAGAATTAATCTTCAGTAAGCCCATGCTTGTCTTGAGAGGCAACTAATAGGATCTGGTGGTCAGGCTTGCTAACTTGGTTGACACGTCATCATATCCCATTCGGGTAGATTGATGCTCATACTGTTGATCACTGGATTGTCTAGTCCAGGCTCCATTATTTACAGACCACCACCATAAAAATTGAATATTGCTGAGTGCAGCGTAAACCTAACCTCACACACATGATGGTTTCATAGATGCCTCTTTCTAGCCACTTTGGAAATGTCATACTTTAAAATATTGCTGTGTGTATTATCCGCTATATTCATATGAATGACTGACAGTATTTTTTCCTCAGTTATCACACAGTGTTGGACATATGGCACAATAGATTACAAACATTTAAGAAGACATGTTTTATAATTCAATAGAAAATATTCAGTGACATTAAACTTACGTCAGAAGGAGTGAAGCTCTGAAGTACTGTATTCTAAATCACTTTGAAATATTGCATTCTTTATGATATGAAGAATTGTTTTAATAATGCTGGCTTGTTGTATAACAGTGATACACAGAAGCAATAACAAATGACATCATGTCATCTGAAATAACATCCATTAGTTGATTGAAATTGTGTGTTGAAAAGTAAGCTACTGACCTTCAACTCAAGTTATTGGATTCATGTTACAGAGGAGAAGTATCTTTAATTTTAGTTCATGAAATTGCAAGTGTATTGCAAGATAATCATTTTTCAACTGGTTAAAATGTTTCTAAACTTCAGTATTAGATTTCCGAGTACATGAAGTTTTGGAGAACAGTGACAGAATGTAAATGTTTAATCAGTGACCTTCTCCATGACTGTCTGCATCTTCCTCCTGGACACTGGGTTAGCCTAGTGGTTAAAGCTTTCGCTCTTCACACCAAAGATCTGGGTTCAATTCCCCACATGGATACAATGTGTGAACCCTTTTCCTGGTGTTCCCTGCTGTGACATTGCTGGAATATTGATAAAAGCGTCTTAAACCATACTCACTCACTCACTCCTGGACACAGCTTCCATTTCATTCAGGGTCCCACCATGTCTGAAGTTTGCATACTATATTAATATAAATCATTGATTAAACATATATTGACTCAAGAATTTCATGTGACATGACCTTGAGCTTATGTCCATCTCAAAACTTGTCAACCGAGATTTGAACCAACAAAATGATCTGTTCACTACTGGCAGTGTTTCTCCCAGTGTTAGGGCAGTAGAACATGCTGTGTCAGTAGTGCATTGTGTGGCAGTACAGTTTGAGCTAGCAGTGATCCTCCCAGTGTTAGGACAGTAGAAAATGCTGTGCTGGTCGTGCATTGTGTGGCAATACAGTTTGAGCTGGCAGTGATCCTCCTAGTGTTACAGAGATAGGACAGTAGATCATGCTGTGTCAGTGGTGCATTGTGTGGCAGTACAGTTTGAACTGGCAGTGATCCCCCCAGTGTTACAGAGATAGGACAGTAGAACATGCTGTGTCAGTGGTGCATTGTGTGGCAGTACAGTTTGAGCTAGCAGTGATCCTCCCAGTGTTACAGAGATAGGACAGTAAAACATGCTGTGTCAGTGGTGCATTGTGTGGCAGTACAGTTTGCACTGGCAGTGATCCTCTCAGTGTTACAGAGATAGGACAGTAGAACATGCTGTGTCAGTAGTGCATTGTGTGGCTGTACAGTTTGAGCTAGCAGTGATCCTCCCAGTGTTACAGAGATAGGGCAGTAGAACATGCTGTGTCAGTGGTGCATTGTGTGGCAGTACATTTTGAACTGGCAGTGATCCTCTCAGTGTTACAGAGATAGGACAGTAGAACATGCTGTGTCAGTAGTGCATTGTGTGGCTGTACAGTTTGAGCTAGCAGTGATCCTCCCAGTGTTACAGAGATAGGGCAGTAGAACATGCTGTGTCAGTGGTGCATTGTGTGGCAGTACATTTTGAACTGGCAGTGATCCCCCCAGTGTTACAGAGATAGGACAGTAGAACATGCTGTGTCAGTAGTGCATTGTGTGGCAGTACAGTTTGAGCTAGCAGTGATCCCCCCAGTGTTACAGAGATAAGACAGTAGAACATGCTGTGTCAGTGGTGCATTGTGTGGCAGTACATTTTGAACTGGCAGTGATCCCCCCAGTGTTACAGAGATAGGACAGTAGAACATGCTGTGTCAGTAGTGCATTGTGTGGCAGTACAGTTTGAGCAGGCAGTGATCCCCCCAGTGTTACAGAGATAAGACAGTAGAACATGCTGTGTCAGTAGTGCATTGTGTGGCAGTACAGTTTGAGCTAGCAGTGATCCCCCCAGTGTTACAGAGATAAGACAGTAGAACATGCTGTGTCAGTGGTGCATTGTGTGGTAGTACAGTTTGAACTTGCAGTGATCCCCCCAGTGTTACAGAGATAGGACAGTAGAAAATGCTGTGCTGGTCGTGCATTGTGTGGCAGTACAGTTTGAGCTAGCAGTGATCCTCCCAGTGTTACAGAGATAGGACAGAACATGCTGTGTCAGTGGTGCATTGTGTGGCAGTACATTTTGAACTGGCAGTGATCCCCCCAGTGTTACAGAGATAGGACAGTAGAACATGCTGTGTCAGTAGTGCATTGTGTGGCAGTACAGTTTGAGCAGGCAGTGATCCCCCCAGTGTTACAGAGATAAGACAGTAGAACATGCTGTGTCAGTGGTGCATTGTGTGGCAGTACAGTTTGAACTGGCAGTGATCCCCCCAGTGTTACAGAGATAGGACAGTAGAACATGCTGTGTCAGTGGTGCATTGTGTGGCAGTACAGTTTGAGCTGGTAGTGATCCCCCCAGTGTTACAGAGATAGGACAGTAGAACATGCTGTGTCAGTAGTGCATTGTGTGGCAGTACAGTTTGAGCTAGCAGTGATCCTCCCAGTGTTAGGACAGTAGAACATGCTGTGTCAGTAGTGCATTGTGTGGCAGTACAGTTTGAGCTAGCAGTGATCCTCCCAGTGTTACAGAGATAGGACAGTAGAACATGCTGTGTCAGTGGTGCATTGTGTGGCAGTACAGTTTGAGCTAGCAGTGATCCTCCCAGTGTTACAGAGATAGGACAGTAGAACATGCTGTGTCAGTGGTGCATTGTGTGGCAGTACTTTTTGAACTGGCAGTGATCCCCCCAGTGTTACAGAGATAGGACAGTAGAACATGCTGTGTCAGTAGTGCATTGTGTGGCAGTACAGTTTGAGCAGGCAGTTATCCCCCCAGTGTTACAGAGATAAGACAGTAGAACATGCTGTGTCAGTGGTGCATTGTGTGGCAGTACATTTTGAACTGGCAGTGATCCCCCCAGTGTTACAGAGATAGGACAGTAGAACATGCTGTGTCAGTGGTGCATTGTGTGGCAGTACAGTTTGAGCAGGCAGTTATCCCCCCAGTGTTACAGAGATAAGACAGTAGAACATGCTGTGTCAGTGGTGCATTGTGTGGCAGTACAGTTTGAACTGGCAGTGATCCCCCCAGTGTTACAGAGATAGGACAGTAGAACATGCTGTGTCAGTGGTGCATTGTGTGGCAGTACAGTTTGAGCTGGCAGTGATCCCCCCAGTGTTACAGAGATAGGACAGTAGAACATGCTGTGTCAGTAGTGCATTGTGTGGCAGTACAGTTTGAGCTAGCAGTGATCCTCCCAGTGTTAGGACAGTAGAACATGCTGTGTCAGTGGTGCATTGTGTGGCAGTACAGTTTGAGCTAGCAGTGATCCTCCCAGTGTTACAGAGATAGGACAGTAGAACATGCTGTGTCACTGGTGCATTGTTCGGCAGTACAGTTTGAGCTAGCAGTGATCCTCCCAGTGTTACAGAGATAGGACAGTAGAACATGCTGTGTCACTGGTGCATTGTGTGACAGTACAGTTTGAGCT